CTCAGTATTTTCAGCATCCTCTCCCTGAAGCTATGCCATGTTCTTAGGACAAGTGATAGTGTTGAAGGATGGCAGACGATGCCAGGGGGCTTCAGTTTCAAAACTGTGTTTGTGTATGTTTATATGGACCTACAGGGATGTGATCTGATTACTGTCACAGGATATCTTCTTCTCCAATCCTCCCATCAGCCTATGCCTGGTAACTGACCTTCATGGTGAGAGATTATGGAACTTGATCTTGAGATAGCATCCTGGTCCAGAGTATTTTCTCATTTGTTGATTTTTACCAGAGCAGAAGATCTCCTTTTTCTTGCCTTCACATACCTGTATATATTCCAGTTTCCTATAAGAAGTGCTGAGAACATTTGTGACAGTACAGTATCCAGTTCTGGAGTCTTTAGTACAGGAAAGACATGGACCTGATGGAGGTCTAGAGGAGGCAACAGAGATATTCCGAGGGCTGGAGCCCCTCTGCCATGGGGACTGGTTGAGATAGTTAGGGGTGTTCAGCCCAGAGAAGAGAAGGCTCCAGGGATAACCTCCTGCAGCCTTTCAATACTTCATGAGGGCTTGTAAGAAACATGGGGACAGACTTTAATTAGGGCCTGTCGCTATAAGATAAGTTGTAATGGTTTTAAACTAAAAGAGGAGAGATTCAGGCTACATGTAAGAAATTTTTTTTACAATCAGGGTGGTAAAACACTGGTACAAGTTGCTCAGAGGGGTGGTAGGTGCCCAATCCCTGGAAACATTAAAAGTCAGGTTGAACAGGGCTGTGAGCAACCTGATCATGTAGAAGATGTCCCTGCTCATTGGTTGGACTAGATGACCTTTAAAGGTCCCCTACAATACAAACTATCCTATGATTCTATGATTCTATGACAGGTAAAATCTAAATCTATATCTTCTTGCAGGCCAGTATCAGTGGTTGTAGTGAATGCCCTTTAATGGTCCCCTACAATCCAAACTATCCTATGATTCTATGATTCTATGACAGGTAAAATCTAAATCTATATCTTCTTGCAGGCCAGTATCAAATTATTCCTCCTGACAAGCCTGTCGTGGGAGTCATTGGAAAAGGAGTTATCCTGCCCTGTCAGATGAAAGTTAAGACAATCCCTGAGAGACTTTCTGTCCAGTGGATATTTACTGGAAACTCCAAAAGAATTGATGTGGCCACTTACGATGGAAAAAATACACAGAATCCAGTTTATGAGGATGGGACGTACCAGGGAAGGACAAATTTTTTTCAGTCTGAATTTACTAAGGGAAACCTGTCTCTTCACCTGAAAAATGTCATGCTCTCAGACAAAGGGAAATACATCTGCAGTGTCTTTTTTGAGAACTGGTATGACGAAGTGGTGGTTGACCTGGATGTGGCAGGTGAGTGGAATGGCTGGCATTTGCTACTTCTTCCGCTGTCCTGTTGTATAATATTGGAAAGGTCTATGGGGAACCAGTGGGCTGGATTCTTCTCACTTGCTCTTATCCATGTGAAAGACCAGAGTCTGCTATAGGTTAGGCCACCTCTATTGCCAGCAGACTCTGAATAGTCATAGATGTCTTTTTACCACATCTTACATAGGGAGCATAGGCAATGCCTTAGCTTTAAAACATTTAAAGGTCGGAAAGAGATGAATCCTATGTTGAAACATGCCTGATTTTGCAGAAGTGAAGCAACTGAAGCCTGACAGAAACTGTATTGGGCACTGCAACCCATTTCTCACACATCTTCTCATTTTCTGTCCAGTATTCCCATTCTCGTCTATTCATGGGGTTACCCAACGATGTTTTACCAACAAATTTCCAGCCCATGTGATGCTACTTCATTTTAATTTCAATAATTCATGGAGATAACAAAAATCAGTCCAAAGATTTGTCTCTACTAAGACTGTAAAGGGGAAGTTACATACAAATATCCCATGTTAACCCGGCACAGGAAGATACATTTATTTAATGAGAAGATCTTAAATCTGATTAATGAACACACTGTGTTTCTAGATAAATCTGGGGAAGACCTTCCCACCACGTACTGCATAGTGAGATATCTTATTTCTTGTTTGTTGGAGCTTGTTTGTTTGCTGTTCCGTAGCTAAAGGTGATGAGTTTTCAGTTTTTCTGGATGGTCATGTGGGTCAGGGCATTGGCCTCACCTGCAAGTCACAGGGATGGTTTCCAGAGCCTGAAGTATTTTGGCTGAACAGCAAAGGACAGACACGGAAAGAACAAGTGACCACCCAAAAAACAAAGACTTCTTCAGGCCTCTTTGATGTTGTAAGTTCCATGAATCTTGAACCAGGATCTGACAAGGAAGTCTCCTGCCGAGTAGTCAATACTCTACTCAACACAATGTGTGAATCCCAAGTCCTGATTTCAGGTGAGTGACCTCCAGCACCAATCACTGTCAGGACCAGTTGGTAGGCTGGTGTTTGTTGTCTCCCTGTTGACCCTGGAGTGATCCTGGACACCCAGCCCAAGAACAAACAACTGGAGTTTCGATCAATAACATGGCAAGAAGTCCATCTCTATGTCTTAGATTACTTGTTACATTCAAGATAGGTTAGCTGTAAGTGCTACTAATGCAGAGCTCTTGGTAGCTGCCACCTGAGACCACTGTGCCAGTTTGGAGAAGGAAGGATTTGGAAGTGTCAATGGGGAGAACAAAGGCCTTATACAATGCTGCCAAGCTACCCAACACAATTACCTGAGACAGCCAGAATATGCCAATAGGAAACTCTGAATGTCCACCCCCATCCCTTTTTCTCCCCCTAACACCACCATGATTACCCCAAGCTTACACCTAGGCTGGAAAGATAATTTTAGTTCCAAAGGGGAAGAGGAGGGCGTTTTTCTTTTTTCCCATCTGAAATAAGCAACCTGGTCTAGTGGAAGGTGTCCCTGCCCATGGCAGGGGGGTTAGAACTAGATGACCTTTTAGGTCCCTTCCAACCTAAACCATTCTGGGATTCTGTGATAGCTGTTTCACACACATTCAGTGAAAGTAATGTATATTTTACAGATGTCTTCTTTCCTTCCACTTCGCCCTGGATGGTGACCTTCCTTGCAACTTTATGTCTTAATATAGCTGTTCTTGCTGCTATAGGTTATAAACTAAACAGTAAGTATTTCCACCTACAAAAGTTGATATGGAAGTTTTCACCTACAGTGCAAAACAGAGTTAATGAAAATTTAAATAGCATTTTAACATCAGATTCAGAAAGAAGCATAAGGGAATGAGAGGGAGAGAGAGAAATCTAGATGTATAACTAAAAGTAGAGTTTGGGTGGGGGCTGCGTGTGCGTGGATGCACAGAGCATCTTTTACAAGGAGGTCACTGCTATGACATGCCGTTTTGTAAGACCACAGACATTTACAGGCACAGAATACAATTTTAGCTGTCAGAATAGTGGGTTTTTGAAAATGTTCTAATTTTAAAATGAGAAAGTTTGAAAATATACTTCAGCATTCTCAATAGACATCTTGGTTTTGGTTTTTTTTAATTACAAGTTTCTTTGTTTTTTCCAGGAAGTTTTACACAATCCCGTAAAGCAGGTGAGTAGTGAAGAAGCTAAATATAAACCCACATGAACATATTTGAGGAGAGAAATTTACACTTCTGAGCCAGGAATAATCTTTATAGGAATGACAATAATGCAGGCATGATCAATATTAAAATATTTCAGTTTTGCAGAGAACCAAGGTGAAGTGGGGGACACTACTCAGCTCTGACTGATGCCACTTCTGCTTAAGGATCTTTGCTTCCTTCACTCATAGGCAGGTCTCGTTGTCAGCACAGGCAAACCGGGGTACTGTCCTGCCTTATAGACTCCAATACAATACAGTCAATGGCTTCTATTGCGCCAGAGCTAACCTAACTCTTCCTCAAATCCAGAATTAAAAATATGTATATATACTGAATTGTCAATATCAGCTGATGAATCCAACACAAAGTTTTTTTATTTGCCTACCTAGTAGTCATGTGGACTACCTAGTCCTACTAGTAGTAGTTATGTAGTCTCCTTGCTTCTAGCATCTCTCCAGACATGACAATATAAGGTTGCTTATTCAGTAAATGGTTGCTGTTCCAGTAGCTTTTTTTCCTTCAGGTATTTTTAAGGTCTTTGGTGTTGAAATAACCCTGTGTTAAAATTACATTCAACTTGTTTAATTTACTTTTTATTGTTTTGAGATAGTGAATAATTAATATTGCTTTTTTTTTTTTTCCAGTAAGTTTGAGGGAGACCATGCTTACAGGTAAATACTCCTTGAAAACTGTGAGGATATCTTGAAAACATAAAACCAAAGACACTGTTCTAGTGCCTTTTGATTTCTTGGACATGAATCTCAAAAGTAGCAATCCTTATCGGCATAAAGGATTCAATGACGAATGATCACATTGTCCTTTATAATTAACAAGTACCGAGCCATCCATAGATAGCCTGAAATATAGTAAATCACTCAGGGTAATCCACCATTGCTTGCAAAATGGTGAACAGGCTGACACACCGTTGTCTAGTATGATTGCACTAATATCTTGAGCTATAACCTTATCCATGTTGTAACTCTTCTGAAAGTCTCATTGTTCTATGTCAGGTTTATGCTCCATATTTTGCACTGTTGGATCACAGTAATCCATGTATTCTGATCTTTTGCCTCCCCTGTTTTAACCTGCTAGTAATTCCCAAGGTTATTAGAGAAAAATAAAATTAAATAACAAGCCTTGAACTGTTTACTGCTAAATTGCACCCCTGGGCTTTGAGTCTGATCTTCTCACCCAGCCTAGTCTGAAGATACAAGTAACAATTCCCGTTGAAATTTCTGCAAATTCTGTGTGTCATCAGCACATAATTACCATTATTTTCTTGTCAAATAATGGTAACAGTAAACAAGACATAGATAGAGGAGCTCAGTTTTCCCATTTTGGGCCTACAAGGAAGCTGGGAGGGGACTTTTTACAAGGGCAGGGAGTGACAGGACAAGGGGTAATGGGTTTACACTGGAAGTGGGGAGGTTTAGATTAGATATCAGGAAGAAGTTCTTCACAGAGAGGGTGATGAGGCACTGGAACAGGTTG